GTCTCAAAATTATCCTTCATTCCTTCGGTTTTGCTCGAGTAATCCTAAGGTCGAAATCATTCCATTTTTTGTCATGTTAAATCTTAAGTTATTATTAATAGAGTTTTAAGTTTGGAATAAGAAAAAGGTGAACGTGACATTAGATCCGAAATAACGAAGGGATGGATGAGAGAGAGTTAAAGGGGGGTTTCATCGAAAAATAGGAAAGGAAACAAATGAGATTTGTTTATGGGCTTTGTTTTTGTCTAAGAAACTTTATGGGTTGGGCCACACCCAACCCACGTTGAACAAGAGATTGGGCTGATTTTAGTCCAGCCTCGGATCTAGTTTTTGTTTTTTGAAAAAAAAAATAAAGAGCAAGAGGTTGGACTAGTTTCAATCCAATTTCTCCCCTTTCCCCCATCCGAAAAAAAAAAAAAGAGAGGCTGAACTAGAATCAGTCTAGCCTCTCCTAAAAAAATAAAAAATAAAAGGATGAAGAAAAAAATAGAAAAAAAGAAGGACAAAGGAGAAAAAATGGGTAGAGGAGAATTAGGCATGGGCCAATAAGCTTGGGGCCCAAAAATATTTCTTTTAATATTTTGATTTTATAGTTTGAGTATTGTCATTTCTTGTTATATCTTTATTTTTTTTCACATTCAATATTCTACACATTTTTTTGAAAGTTATTTAATTAACCTTAAATTTTAGAATTTACATCACTCATTAGGTTAGATAATTATTTGATAAAAGGATTATCGAGTCTCCTAAATTTTTTAGGGATCGATGATAATTTCTTTTGTATCAATAAATAAAAAATAAAATAATAAAAATTTTCAACGAAGTCTCCTATCTGCTAGGGACTCGTTGTTTGACCAAAAAATAATAAAAATAAAATTCTTAATAAGTCTCCTATCCGATAGGGACTCGTCATTTGACCAAAAAATAATAAAGATAAAATTCTCAACGAAGTCTTCATCCGATAGGGACTATCATTTGACCAAATAAATAAAAAAATAAAAAATTTCTCAACAAAATCTCCTATCCGATAGGGATTGTTGTTTGACAAAAAATTAAAAAAATTATCAACGAAGTCTCCCATTTGATAGGGACTCGTCGTTTGATAAAAAAAATTAAAAATTATTGATGAAGTCTCCTATCCGATAGGGATTGTCATTACCAAAAATCATCATTTAATTATCGAGATTGTTTTTTGACACACCAATTGTATCGAGACTTAAAGTGGATTCGATGTTTGAAGCGATGTGTCACTCTACGAAGGACATCGACGATCGTTTCAATACGATGTCACTGGTCAAAACTAAAATACTTAATTTGGCTTTAAAAATTAGAGTGTAAACTTGAAAAATAATTTGACATGAATAAAATATTTTAGGAAATGAATTCAAAACTAAATGAGACATGGTACCTTTCTTCGGAAAGGACACTTTTGAGTGATTAAATATCTTTCCAAAAACACGATCAACTCCTTACCATAGAATATCTAAACCAAGTGCTACTTTTAGGTTCCTAGTTCCTTAATACTTTGTGGCAACTCTAAACTTATAAATAATTTTGTAAATAAAATCTAACACGGTAAATTAGATAAATTATTTTCGAGAGTCCTGTTTGATGTCGGGTAACGACACTTTCTTAATTGTGATCATCAATATTAGTATATAATATATCAAACAAGTAGTAGGCATAAATCCAACATTTGACATCTTAGGAACGGGATGAGCTGGTTTTTTCTTTCAAATTCATACAAACAGAGCATACTAGCAATAATGTCTTTAAAAATTCTCTTAATCTTTCCTTTTACAAGAAAATATCTAAATCCTGAATGAATGATATTGGAAGCAAACAAACCAACTAAGAATTCTTTAATTTATAGCTTCAATTTTGAAATTTTAAACCAAAACAAAAGGACCATGATTATTGAAGCTCCAAACGAAACTAAGGACTGAAAAAAAGAGAATAATTAAAAGTATAAGGAAAAAAAAATGCAAGTCATGCTCTTTGAAAGTTGAATTGAAAATACAATAAACACAAATATAATAGCACAAAGTCTTGAAAAATAATACAAATTTATAATTTTCACAAAGTTGAATTAAGAAAACAACAAAAAACTTACCTCTAAGTTTTTAAAAACACAGCCATCACTATGAAAGGATAAGACATTATTTTGAATTTTGAATAAATAAACACTAAATTTCAACTTAGTCACATAGTTATATTTTTCTCATATTTAAAATCTTAATATTTTTAAAATATTTATTCATTAAAAATAATAATATTTTTTTAATTTTGATAATTATTATTGGACCGGATAAAAATAAATTCATATTTAATCTATTTAATAAATAAGTTAACTCGAATTCATATTATAATCAAATTCGTATCATAAAAATTATATATCAGTCCATTTAATTAAATCAAATTTGTATGGGAATCGAGTCAAAATCCAATCTGTTAACAACCTTACTTATCCCATTAGATATGGTCAGATTTATATATTCTACGATGAGAAATTCTTTGTTCATAATAGATGCAAGGTCATGAAAAAAAAAAAAATAGTGCCCCTGACATTACATGTCCCCGATATACATTTGATTATATTTGTTTAATAATGCATTTCTTTTAGCTACCAACTATATATAGAGAGAGATAGAGTGGGGAGGGAGGGAGAGGGAGAGAGAGACTTGCATATGCATAAAACTAAAAATCCACTTACATATGCATAAAACTAAAAAATTTACATCACTTTTAACCCTTGATTAAAATGATTAAAATTAAATCTAATGGCTTACTTTAAACCATGCTTTGCAATGAATAAAGATTTCATGCTTTTTTAACCCTTGATTAAAATGATTAAAATTAAATCTAATGGCTTACATTAAACCATGCTTTTCGATGAATAAAGATTTCATTTTTTTAATTGTAGTTCTAAATTTATACATTTTCTTAATTATTTCAGTACTTATTTCCTCTCTTATTCATTATCAAATCTTTACTTTTCAATTTTGATGATCTGAAGACAGTTGCAATGATAAGCTGAGTCGGCTACAGGGGACGACATGCCCAAACTTGCGATGATAAAACATGGAAACTTCGGGAGCAATAACCGGAGAAGTCATAAGAAGATGGATGATTTTTATAGTCGATCAAAGAGAGCAGACACGATTAGCATATATAAGCGATAACTGATGAAGCAATCATCTAGATGAGCACAAGACTAAGGGACGCAATTAGATCGAAGATGTAGCGAATTGGTAGACTAGTTCAACTAAAGCAATTAGCCTTAAATCTCGACTCCAATCGCGAGAGTAGATAGTTGGAAAAGTCGAAAGGAGGAGTTCAAATTTTGGCACCAATGACTTACCTTCCTCCTTTTCTGGTGAACTTAGGACTCTTATACCAATTGTTAGGAAACAAATTAAGCAGAAAATAAAGCAGCAAGACAAAAAATAAAGCAGAAAAACAAAAGCAATCAAAAGATTCAAAAGTTACATGGTTTGGCAATATGTCTATACTACCATTGTATTAGAATTTCTTATTAGTTTTTTCAATCAATTACAAATGCAAAAGATATTGTCCATGCTTATACTTTGAACAATTAAAATTATAATAAAAAAACTTAACAAGCCTCCACAACTAATTCAAAATTTTGTAGACCTTGATCCCCTCACGTTAACCAACTAATAAGACTATTGTACTTATTCTGTATAGTACAATAAATTACGAGATAAATCCTTATTAGTATTCATGACTTAATAGATACTCTATGAAAAACTAATGATATAATATTATCCTAATCAAGGGTGGTGATTATGACATTGCTAATACAAGATTTACCACAAGAACTTATGATTTTGTTTAATTAAAGATTATACCCATGAGTAGCTCGACTTAATAAATGAGCTTGTTTATTAAATGATCATCTTACCTAAAAGCTTAGAGCGAGAGATGAGGCCTAGAATATAATTTATATTAGTTTAACACACCCTCAGTAAAAGCCTTAACATTTGGGCTGAAACTTACATCGATCCACATTGCCTTAATACTTAAAAAATTAGAGATGGTGAGACTTGAACTCGGGATCTCTTGGTTAACTAAGCTCCGATACTATATTAAATGACCATCTCACCTAAAACCTTAAGCTTAATAGATGAGGCCTAGAATATAATTTATATTAGTCTTTAACAGTTTGAAATGATTTGCAATCTGCAGTCTTTTGTATTGGATGCTTGCAAAAGCTGCTAAGGTCTTTTGGAGGTAGTTTCAGTGATGATTAATTATGCTATATGCTTGCATTTGTGCGAATTAATTAATTTTGGATTGATATTTTATAAAATCCATTTTTTTCAGTGAATAAATTAAGGGGGAATAGGTTTTTTGATTTAGAAAAGATTAAGTTTTTATCAAAAGGATCAATTGGCATACTATATAATTTAGTTACCAGAAGAAAATTGATCTTAGCTCCTTGTTGACACAAATAAGCAAACCAGGAAAAGAATTCAGAGAAAAAAAAAAAAGAAGAAGAAGAAGATGCTAGCAATAAATTTTCAGCTTGAAAGAAAAAAATATTATTGAGCTCCTGCTGAGCAGAAGAAATACACTCCAGCTTAAGCTCGCTATTGAAGAGCAAGCTCTTCTTCTATGCACCATAATCACTTCGTATATTTACAATGTTGTGAGCCTATTTTCCTCAAAAAGAGACCATATCTCCAATGTTTTGTAAGTGCAATATATATATATATATATATGAGCATACAGAAGTTCCAAGACAAGCAAGAAATTTATAAAACAGTTCATCTTGCTAAGGTTGACATCTACAAGTATGTCCGCATAACTCCCGCTTTGAGCTTCCAAACAGTAGCATGTCAGAGGCTGAGAGGTAGTGATATCTACCTAAACTTGATATCTACCCAAACTAAGTTCCATTTATCAGTAAAATTTGCTATTAATGAGCCTAACAACTCATTCCAGCTTTCGCAGATCCATGTTGGCAGTTAATACAGTTACTTGTTGAGGTAAGGAAACTCTGCAGTCCCCATGAAGGATGTCCTCTTGACGAACCTGCCTTTCATTCTAGGCCTTTTCTCTGCATTCAATTTCCTTACTTCGTACCTTATCTTTTTTGAAAACAATCGTGTTCTTCGCTTCTCTTTATATCTCATCACCCTCGCTTCTCTTCCCCCATCTACACCTCTTCTCAGTCCTCCATATGGATGATTAGCTTCATTAAGGCACGCACCCTATAAAATCATATAGAAACAATAATAATCACATATCGACCAAGACCGATACTAATAAATCTTAAAAATAAATTACTACGCAAGATGAATTGATCATAGTGGTCTGTCTCTTAGTTAAGAGCAATGCAACCTTGAACATAGTTTTTTCTTATCATACTGAACAGGGGTTAGAACTAGCTACCTAGGGCATGTGTGCAGCACTACAATCTTATTTGAAAAACTTAAACTTATAAAATTTATAACAAAATATAATTATTATATTATATATGGACAATTGGAAACATATTTCATTTTTTTCGTTGGCTTCGTTTTCTATATATTTTCTCCTTCCCCTAATACACTTATGGTATTTAGAAAACCTGAAATGAAAATGAGGGAAGTGCATACCATGGAATCAGGCCAACAATCATCAGGGTTGAGCTCAGGTCGGCTTCCTGTAGTCCATGGACAACCTTGACTGGCCCATGCAGTGATGACTGACTCATAATCAAGCCTCAAAGATACGTTCCTCTTCATCTCCTTCTTGTATCCGCTATTCATCATCGCTGTCTCAGGCACTGGCACCACCTTCTCGTCCACCTCTTCATCTCCTTCCACCAGAGTCTTGTAGTCGAAATTCCAATCCAATAATGATTCTCTTGCCATATTGAAATCTTGGTCAAAATGACAAGCTATGATTGCTTCCATTTCTTGCTCATCCTTAACTTTCACTACTTTGTTCTCGAAACAAAACTGTCCTTCGTCTTCTTCTTTACTACAATCTAACAGCCCTACATCCAGAGTATCATGAGATTCCTCATCAGCTTCCTGTCCCAGTAAGTTCTCAACATCTGCAGAAAACTCAGCCAGATCCATGTCTGAAGGTAAAAGCCCTGGTAGGTTATCCAAGTCACATGTCCCTTCCTGTCCGAAAACATCAACAACCATATTTCCATCTTCACTTGTTACTATGTCACCTAATTCTGCTGCAAACTGATCATACACAGGAACCCTACAAAGAAACTGATCATCTTCATTCTCATCAGCGACCATATTTCCCTCTTCTTCACTTCCAATTTCAGGAACAAGAGGAAGTGGGTTCAAGAATTTCTCTCGATCATCTTTGATCTTTTGTTGCACCGGTAATGACTTGTTGTTGTTGTTGTTGTTGTTGTTATGCCTTGGGGTTCTTGCCTTTCTTGTGAACCCTTGATGCCATGCTGGTGGAGAATAATCCTGATCAGTGTTTATTGAACCAATCTTAAATGATGACGCAGTCTCAAGCCTGACTCTTTGGTGTCTACTTGCTAACTGATTCGCCGAATGGACCGACGCATCACATGCTTGGCAAAGGAAAGCATCATCTGCTACGCAAAACCAACGTGCCCTCTTGTGTAAACAGCTGTCACAAGCTCTTGCCGTCTTGCCTCCCATGGCGTTTTCCGCTTTCCTTCCACTGATCATGCCAAAGATTTAATTGTGAGACAAATGAAGTATTACCTGTAGTTGACCGAAGTAACGAAGAGTTGCTGGCTGAACACAATATGAAAGAAAGCAAAATTGCAAAGTGACTATTGCAAAGAGTGTTGGGGTGTCCCTTGCAGTATTTATCTTGGGGCCAATTGATGATGCATGAAATTATTGAGTAGAGAGACCAAGTCTCTATATTGACCCCCAGTGGAGCATTTACTATCGGCAATAGGTCGCTCTTACAGATAGCCCATGCACATTTGGTGGTTTGTTATATGGAATATTATACAAGGGCTTTGATTGCGCTTTTCGGGACCCATAACTTAGTCTTATCTCAACCTTGATTGGCTAACATTTTTATGTCCATCCTATTGTATGAATTCTTATTGGTTGCCCGTCTAATGCACGGATTCCTAGTGGGCCATCAGGCAGGATTATCAAGGGTCCCCTTCTCCTTTCTCTTTCCCTATGGAAACAATTTGAGAAACACCATTTGTTACCTTTGTCTGTATATTTCAATTATTCCTGTTACCAATTTATAACCCTTTTTCGCGGTCCCCTATAGTTGCTTTCAACTCTCCCTCCTGTGGTTGCCTTCAGCTCTCTCCACTCTCTCGACTACAGTAATCAACCACCACCAGATGATGAATGGCACTTCTTGAACTAACTTTACTTGGGCACAATTATTTTGTACAATAGATGTTACCTATGAAAGCTTTAAATACATCTTAACCTTGCGTTTAAACGGTCCCAATGTGCTACATAATTTGCACCTCAAGTCGGGTTTCACAGGAATCCAAGCCATGGCTATAAGCATGAAAGGGTCCCTATGTAGGAAATTAACAATGTGCCCCTCTAACCTGTTTATGAAATTTCTCATTTTTTGTAGTACTTTGAAACTTATTTCTGTCAATAGAGATTGTAATTAATCTCATTTATTTTGATAGTTTTCCTATTTTCAAATATGTAATGATCTCATTTCTCGAAAAGTACTTGTGATAATCATATTCCAGAAACTTTATCAATAATAATAATAATAATAAAACTATATAAATGCTTTAATCACGTAATTCGTACTCAGATTAGTGTTTTATTATGAGTAAAACTGTGCAAACACAAGTAGCTCTTAGCTTTTAAATGAAAAATCAATTATTTATCAGTTTTGAGACCCAGCATTTTTATCAGTACGGAAATTATGGAAAAATTCTTTTGATTTTATAAATGTGTGTACATTGAATAGATTTCACAACAACTGGCATTTCCCTTTTCACTTAAAAAGAAATTGAATTTCCATTACAAGTTACAGGCTACTAAACAAATTCAAATTAAAGAAATCTCTAAAAAGTTCAAAATATTCAAAAAAAAAAAAAAAAACTTAGGAATTTCATTTTTCAACCCCTTTAAATTCTAGCTACATTCAATGATACCGGCAATTCATGATGAATCGTCTTCCTTTCCATACATTATTGATCATGATTTCAATTTGTAACCGGAGTTTTGTGTTTTAAGAAATTTTGAGCAATATCTAGTTTTGACCATCAGGTTGGATTATCAATATTTTTAGATTGTAAAAGAAAACTTGCAACCCAAATTGCCTAACAAAGGATGAGGATTGTAATAATATGCTAATTAGCAAGAAAATTCTTCCTTTGTTATTAAGAAAATACATTGTTTGAATTGGGAGATTTTGACAATATTTATTTGGTTTTATTGTTTTAGATAACTTTTTCAATATAAGGATTGTAATAACATGAGTATCCTACCATAATTGACTTAATTTCAGTATCTATTTGATTTGATTAAACAACATCTTGGAGGTTTTTTTTTTTTTTTTTTTTAATCTAAAAAGTAATGCAAAGCTAAGGGGTTCTTGATTTGGAATGTTTTTGTGTAAAATACAAAACAACCCAGCATTTGCCGATCTTTTCAAGATTGGCTGTATAAATAGATTACAAGTTGAATTATTGCCGATGATCAAGAGTTGAAAAATGAATGGGAATTCTAATAGATATTACAAAATATTTACAAGAATTTGAGAGTTGAGCGTGATCATGTATATATTAAGGATTAGTATTATTATGGACTCTATGATTTCTGCAAAAGAATATTATAAGATCTAACATTAATTATGTCTCTGAAGTTGAAGCATTAAGATCAATAATACCCAATTTGCATAAAAGAAACCGAAATTGGTCTCAATCCAATGTTTTAATAGGAATGTAATGACTGACAATGTCATTCAATTAGTCCGTTCATGAACAAAATGGTAATCGATTTGAATGTTGTTTGAGCAATCGTGGTAGATTGGGTTATAGCACCAACGTGAAACGCAGTCGGGTTGTTCTAATATTAGAGCAACATAGGACAGGACCTTTAGAAGAGATGTCAGAATCAAATAGAGAGGTTCTTAATAAAAGTAAGTCTGTTGTACGTACGTAGCAGCTGTTATGAATCTTTTTTAATTTAAACATTTCTTTTCAATTAAATATGTGAATATAGATTAACAATATATTCATGAATAAAAAATTTCAAACAAATCTTAGGTAAGGAATCTTTCTTTATTCAACTATTATATGTATATATATATATATATATTTTTAATTGTAAGGTTTATTTGCCTTTGACTACCAAAGTCGAAAAAAACTTAATTAGCGACAAATAACTAAATAGATTACAAGTTGAATTATTGCCTATAAAAGTGTATACAAAAAAAAAAAAAAAAAAAAAAAAAAAAAAAAAAGAAGAAGAAGAAGAAGAAGATAGTGTTTGATAAAACTTAAAATTAAGTGTTGAATCTGTTAAGTAATAAATTTTAAGAGCTAAATAATTAAGTACCGAATATGTTATTGACAATCTGTTTAGTATTTATTAAAAATTAAGTGCTTGATAAATACCTGTTGTTGAACATATTTAGATTATATATATGATAATTTTAACCTTGTAATTATAAAATAATATTTTTTAACATAAATAAAAATATATCCATAGATGTGTTTGATAACAATCTCCCCATCCTCTCTTTCTATATGAGACTTATTGATTGGGTGATATAATATTACAAATTAAAATCTCATCAAGAGCACCTACAACACCCTATAAATAAATAAATAAATAGTTAATTTTAAAATATACAAACAAATAAAATTAGAAATAAAAAGTTAAATGTATAACTTGAAATACTTGGTGAAGTCAATGGTGATGTTGAACTTAACATAAATCTAGGTAAAATACACAACCATTTATCTTGCAAACTTTAACCTTGCTTGACTAATAAATTAGATTACTTGATATTCATATAGGGCAATACAATACTTGATTCAATTAATCAAACAATCAACCCTTATATACATATATTATAGAGTACATCCGTACAACAAAATTCTTAGTATTTGCATCGTTATTATTAAATATCATATTTAGAGTATCATGTCTCCATCTCTAATTTCTTAAATTACCAATCTACCACAATCCGTAGTATTTTATTCCTAGCTTCATTATCACTACAAAAGCAAACACTTCAAAACTCTAGTAGAATGGTAATTGGAAAGAGAATTATGCATGTTGGCATATGGTTTTAGTTATTTTACCTCGGTACATAAATGCCAAAGAAAATATCGAGAGCTTCCGAGCAATTTGCTCAATTTTCATCTTATAATAGGAAAAGAGAGGAGATAAACTGTTAGCCATTGTGAATGTAAAGACAAAGATTATATATATATAACATAATGCTATTCAATGGGAGTGACTTTAAGCAATGTATAACCTTTCTACGTTCTAGCGGACTTCGACGGTGAAACACCCTTACCGAGGTCCTCTAAAAAATTTGTTGCCAAAGAATAAAAGGAACCAAATAATTGAGCACATCGGATGAATAAAAAGAAATCTCCTTCAAAGACATGGCAAAACAATCGAGACTAAAAAATATGTCGATACCAAACTTGCCCGATGAAAAGGTTCATAAACAATTATTAAAAGCTTTAGTAAAATATAAATCTTTATGCGAAGCTATACACCGTGAGTCTTCATCCTCCGGAGATAATAGATATAGTTTCTCAATCGATTTATATAGTTAAGATTATAAGAGTATATAAGGACTATATAGTCATATTTAAAAAGTTTTAAAAATCTTTCAATCGACCTTGTTAATAAAAAAATTTTAAGTAAAAAATTTTAAATTATCTAATTAAATAGATTTTGAATGAATTTAAATTTTAAACATGATATTAGTTAGATTATCAAACAAACTTTTTATATTAAGTATCACGACTTAATTTTTTAAGCTATTTACATAGATTATCAAACACACCCTAACTTTCTTCAATTAATCAACTAAATGATTTCAATTTAAACCTATTTCGTTAAGCTATTCATAATAATATAATGTTAGCTATAATGTTTTAAGCATTTATTTTTATATATTTATCCTAAATATTAATTATTAAATCTTAAAAGGTAATTCAATTTATATCCCTATTTTTACTCAAATCCATTTACAATTTTTATTATATGGTTAAAAATAAACAAATTGATTTAAATATAATTATCAAAATTTATATAAATTTATTTAAAAATAAAAAATCTTTGTCACTATCCCATTTTTTTCACCTAAAAAAAACAAAAGAAAAGAAAAAATAGAAATCAGAAAAAAAAAATAAATAAAGAAGAAAGTAAAAACAAGGCCAGACTAATCTCGGTATGCTTGCTTGCGCAGTTGGCCCACCTGGCGGTCTAGGCCCGTTATTTGACAACTCTAAACCGATACCTACACCCAGGTAGAAATAGCCACCCAACTACCAAACCCTAGCAGACCAAAGCCGTTAAACAAAAAAATGTTTTTGACAGAGACGCAAACCAGGACACAAAAGTAAGCAAATTTCTCTCCGCTCTTTACCCGTCCATTTACCTAGCCGCCTTTCATTTTTAGGTCTAACTTTTACCTATATATTATTTGATATATTGCATGT